TGTTGACACGAGTTCATAAACGCAATTAGAAAAAAAAAAAAAGACAAACATACTACGCACGATGGGTGAGCCATTGTTGTAGGTGAGAATGTGTCGGAGAGGTAGGATAAAGAGGAAACTATATATCTGTACGTAAAGATAAACCAATATTAACGAAAAACGATTCGGAGCCAAGTTACATGTATGGACATTTTCCAATTTTTCCTAGGTTTATTTCCGATTATTATGAAAATCGCTTGGAAAATTAAAAAATAACATCCTTAAAGCGCCGTCCAGATAAAATTTTATTTTCAAAAATTATTGGAAAATTGGAGAAATATTTCTGGTAGAAAAATTGATAGTAAAAAAAAAAAAAAAAACAAATAATAGTAAAAAAAATAAATACTTTTGTAAAACCAATACATTTCTCTCTACACTGCGAATTTGAAAAAGATACAGAATAGGATTGTATTCAAAAATGATAAACTATACGAATACATAACACAATAAAATATTATAATAAAAAATAATATTGTCTTGCCGTTACTACGTTAAATGTTCTTTAGGTATAGTGTATCGGTAATTGGTATCAGATACGATTAGTATTCTGAATATTTAGGAATTTTTTTTTTTTGAAAGTATCCAATATTGTCTTCCAAATCGATTTAAAAAACATTTTATTCATAAAAAAAATAAAATCATACTTTCACTCGGTTAGTGTTAAATGTTTTACTATATAAGTAAGACGTGTGAATCATTTTTGTCTAGAAAAACACTTGCTTTCAATCAGTTTCCACCTACAACGGTGCCGAGCACACAGATAAACTCTTTTTTTTTTTTTAGATTCGGAACGAAGCGAAGGATCTATCGATTTTAGCGATTTGACTATGTGTATTTTAATTTTTTTGTTATTTCTGTCTGTAAATCAATTTTCGGAAAAGAAAACCGACTTATTCGATGCATCAAGTGTGACATTATCTTATCTGAAAGGAAAGTTTATCTAACTGGTGCATTAAACAAGTCATTTTTACGAGTTTCGAATGGGTTTTCGAAATACGACTAATAAACCCGGAAACAAAATTGTTGCTATAAAACAGTAAATATCGATAACGCGACGCGTCGGCGCCCATAGTGGTCTGAACAGTGATTTAGCTTACCTAAAAGTCAGTTTTAAAATTATGTCAAATATGATTTATGCTACCCAATCATTGATAATTACAATTACACTAGTGATAATTTAATGCTTATCATACATTTTACCCATTACAAACCTAATGAAATACCCAGATGAGTATAAATATAGTATATAAAACTGAATTGATAATATTCTCATTGCTATACGATAATCTCGTTTAAAAGGGAAAGTATAGGTATATTTAATTTTTTTTTTTTATCAAAAAAAAAACATAATATGAAACCTACAGAACAAGGTAAGTTCATTGTTATAGCTTTTAAAATTTATTTGTACAAATTATTCGATTTTAAATCTGGATATTGTACGTTTATTTTTTTATATATTTATCGAGTTTTTATTAATTATTTATTAAAAAACACCGGACATTTTGGTTTTTATAAAATAATATACTCTTTAAATTTATACAGCATTATACCTATTATAATTTTATTTCGTTTATATTGTGGTATTATTGTTAGTCTTTTTCTATTTATTATTTTAAAGTTCATAATATATTACAATATTATTATTTTGTAGGAATTAGTAATATATCGAAAGATCAAAACAAAATAAATTTGACTTATGAAGATTTATTTGAACTGTTACGACAAAAAGAACCATTAAATCAAACTACTAATGAAATTAGGAAATATTTCGTTGTATGTATAAAATAATATTATAAAAAACATTTTCAAAAAAATTATAATATTTAAAAAAATAATAAAATCAAAAATAAATTACATAATTTTTGTGTAGTTTTTAAAAAAAAAATAATAGACGTAATAGACATTATGGTTCATTTGTTCAAAAAAAAAAAAACCAACGGGTTAAAAATATTTTTTATACTTTTTCATCTGAATGACTCTAAATTAGTGAACGCACTATTATTAATTAACACAGGATAGTTTCGATTATTCTACATCAGATGACTAACTGACAAATACTTTAGAATAAAATGGTCTAATTTATAATATTATTATCTAATTTTATTAAATGGATATTTTATGTCAACGTTAACTATCTACCTCAGTCTTAAAAAATTTCTAAAATTAATAGTTAATTAAAAACCTGTATGGAATTTGGATTTTGCACCCTTTAAAAAATATAAACTGGTATAAAAATACAAAAATAATGTAGAACTTTAAATAGTACCTTCTCCCAGCCCCCCTTACTAACAGGGCAATTGAAAAACGAATGCGAAATTCGGGTGCAGCGTTCTCAAAACTAATAGGTTTGGTGTATCGCACTATCATATCAGTTAAAATTTAATGGTTATATAATTTAGGTAAGCTGAATTATGATTCAGACCACTGTACGGCGTTCCAGATTTCTTTGTTTTTTAAAATTTTGCAAACTATGTTTTCTTCTAGAAACATTGACTCGACCGAAAAATGACATAAGACATTTACGAGTGCATTTTTAATTTCGTAGTTAAGTAAGAAAGTCGTTTTTGTTATTTTCCCCATAGTTGTTTTCATAATCGAGCAAAACCGAAAAAAAAAACGTAGAAACAACGAGAAAATGTACGAAAATAATGATTAAATTATTTTCAACTATGTATTTTTATTGTGGTTCTGTTGAAAATATTCATAAAAACTTGAAATTTCAATATTAACTCAAATATTTGCCTTTTCTAGACGTGGTAAAATTTTCAAAACATTTGAGCTCTTTTTGAACTATAGATATAATAATTCTGCGAGTTTTTTACGCAATTGTTGTGTTCGGCAAGTACTTTGCGAATAAAATCGTTAGACCAAACAGAAATGCTTGAAAATTCAACATTATCTACGAATATTTGTTCGCACGAATGTTCGTTTATGTGGTACTTAGTGTAGGGTTAGAAAATAAATAAATTGACCGTAAATTATTTTTTTTTTTCATAAGAGGTTTAAAATCAAATGTTGACGAAAATCGTAAACATTACGACCTGCCGAAACGTCGGCAAATGAACTTCGCTCCGAATCGATGTTTGGTAACAATGGTTTATCGTTGCGTACAGGTATAAATCAAATTTTCCTCTAAATCCTACCTTCCCAACTTCTCACCTACACAACAGTGGCTCACGATTCGTGCGAGGTATGGCCGTTTTATTTTGTTCTAGTTGCGCGCATGAACAGCGTGTCAACAGCCGCGCCGACATTGCATACGGACGAGAAATTAATTCTACCAAGGCGTTTTTAACAACGAGAACCGCGGGAAGTTGTTAAATTTACATAATATTTTAACGATACGTGTACCTACAACACGGTTCACCGTATAATAACAATATGATTATCACGACTTTAAACTGCGAACGTTGCACACATTTCACGCTAAAACGTCGCACAATTATAACACTTTTGAAATTCAAATATTCGAAATTTGTAACGTATACTTCTATATTGATACTATGTAACCTATGATATACAGGACGATTCGAAATATACCTTCTTCAAGTATAAACTGTTTATACCCTCAGGGTGATTTTTTTTTTTATCATAAATCGGCTATTTTTTCGGTATATTTTAAGTGAATTTGACTTCTGTTTTTTTCTTTCAATCGTTACGGAATCGGTTAAGCTTTATTTTAAAACCATTTTTTATGTAATTTTGATTTTCAAATAAAAACCACCCCTCTCTTTTTTAAACGCATATTTCAATAGAGAATAGTTTTCTAGAAATTTCGATATGCATAACACTGACGTCAGATGTAACGTTCATGAGTTATAATTGTTTAAAGATTAGACTTGAAGAGTAGAGAAGGGTAGTAAAAACAAAAGTACATACTTATTTAAGGTATATGATGTAGAGGTGAAACATTTAAAAAAAGTTTTAAAATTAAGCTTAACCGATTCCACAATGGTTGAAAAAACAGAAATTAAATTCATTTAAAATCCTCTGAGAAAATTGCTGGTTCATGATAAAAAAATCACCCTGTATACATATTATACTTATAATATGTAATGTTAATGAAAATTGCTCTCCTAAATTTTAGATTCGATGCGGCTCTGTTGGTTTTACTAAGATGAGTGTGTTTTCTTTTTTTTAATTTGTATTTTATTTAAATTTTTTGTTGTGTTTGTGAACAACTTTCCTACCATAAATCCCGTTCCAGTGTATCAAGTGTAGCATCTTTTCTGAAAATAAATTTCCTCAAGTTGTTACACCGAGGGGGACTTACATTTGATTTTTTTAGACGTGATAAAATTGTCAAAATATTTGAGCTATGTATAGGCATTTTAATTTTTCAAGTTTTCAATGTAATTTCTATTTGATAGATACTTTGTGGACAAACTTAGACTACCCAGACATTTTTTAAAATTTTAAAATTCACATATTTACAAACATACAGTAACAATATTTTAATTATATAACATTAATTAAAATTGTTTTGCACGCCGTCTTTAAGCAAATTCTTGAGTTAAAGGTGTTCAAATGCGATTAAAATTAGAAATACTTGAAAATTTGACAGGTGGTTCATTATAAGTCATACTTAGTGATCGAAAAAGAAATTGAGTATAACATAATATTTTTTAAACGTTTTTATAATAGTGCTAAAACCAAACTCTGACGAAAATCGTAATTATTACGACCTTTTAAAACATGTACAACCGACCTTCGCTTCGAATCGTTTTTCGTTTTCAACGGTTTGTCTTTGGATTACACGCATAAATAAAATAACTTTGTGTGTCACACATTCCCAACTACTCATCTATAACAGTGACCGCACCCGTCCGCAGTATCAGTTCTTTTTATTTTTTTCGTATTGCTTTTTCTATACTAAATATTATAAAGAGGAAAGATTTGTATTTTTGTAATTTTTTAATTACGGCCATCCCCTTAGGATGTTTAATCAATATTGAATGTTGTGTTCAACACTACGAATAATAACGATCCATCACGTCATCGATCAATTCGAATAATGCATAAATTAATAATATTGCAATAATCTGTTTATTATTGCGATAATACCGTTGCGCTACGTTTTCGAATCACTCGTTGGTTTATATACAAGAAAAAGGGTAGTTTGTAAACAAGCCCGGGTGCTTCGTTGGTAGAGCATTAGGTAGCAGTACCTTCGGGTCTTAGGGTTCGAATCCCTGCCCGGGTGAACAATTTTTTGCGTTTTTTTTTTTCGTTTTTTTTTTCGTTTTTTTTTTTTAAATTTAAAAATTAAAACACAAACGGTATTACGTCATTTTTTCGATTAGAGCATTATTCATGATAGAAAACATAGTTTTGTTTTCGCTATTATAATTTTCTAGAAATTAAAACGGCAATTGCTAAGAAACTGTTGGTCGCATATATATGCGTGTTACATTAAAATTTTTAAAATAATATCTTTCACAAAACGGCTGTCTTGAAAAGTTTAAAAAGTGGAAAAATAAAAAGTTTTTTTTTTAGCGATTCAGAAATGAAAATAAAATGTGTAATTTTTCGCTACATATGTGTTCTCCTAGCACAAAACCCGATTGTAGAAAAAAAAAAAAAAAATTATGTTGGCGTGATTATTGGCCCGCGAGGATAACACTGTAGGTCACCTTGCATTTGTCATAGATACAATAAAGAAATGGACGGGCCATGACTATACCGGGTTGAGTGTACCGTATTCACGGAGCGCTTTGCGGCGGTAAAGAACTCGTGTAACCGCAGCGGTTAGACAGTGGTCGTTTGTTAATTGGTCCACGTGCGTATCCGAAATAGATATATATTTTTTTTTTTTTTTTTATTTTTTTCTAAAGTTAATAAGAAATGTGTACAGCAATAGTTGGTGAATACCAATAATAAATTTAATTATATTCAAATATTTCGATATAAGTCTATATCGTGAATTGAAAAATAAAAAAGAGCCGATACTGGGGATGGGAGCGGCCACTGTTGTTGATGAGAAGTTGTGGAAGGTAGGAAACATAAGGCTGTTCCATTTATGTCTGTAAGCAACGACAAACCGTTGCTTGACGAAAGACGATTCCGATACATAATTTTAAGTGCCGTAAATTGTTTTGCGATTTTCGTTGAAATTTGACTTCAAAACAAAACGGATATATTTTTTTGATATTTTTGAACTTTTTCTGAACGATTCGCGTTCTTGTATTTCACCATGCACGTTATTTTAGAGGGTTAATCTCACTGCTCTCCCGAAGTCAAAGTCCTGACTTTTATTCGACATTTATTTTTCGTTAATCAATGATTATGGTAAACTCGAAAGGTATTTATTTCAGCGCGTCGTCTAAAAATAACAGTAATTTGACATTTCATTTGTCAGTAATGTATTGAAATAGTACCAATAGATTAGTATTGATTTGTTTACATTTTATTCAGATTCCCTAATCTAATTAGAGATACTCAATTTCTTTTTTCGATCACTAAGTATGACTTATAATGAACCACCTGTCAAATTCTCAAGCATTTCTATTTTTAATCCGATTTGAACAACTTCAACTCAAGCATTTGTTTAAAGACGGCGTGCAAAACAATTTTAATTAATGTTATATAATTAAAATATTGTTACTGTATGTTTGTAAATATGTAAATTTTAAAATTTTAAAAAATGTCTGGGTAGTCTAACAAGTTTGTCCACAAAGTATCTACCAAATAGAAATTACATTGAAAACTTGAAAAATTAAAATGCCTATACATAGCTCAAATATTTTGACAATTTTATCACGTCTAAAAAAATCAAATGTATGTTCTCTATCAAAATTACATGTCTATGTATATTTTTAACTGAATTACAATAAAAAAATAGAATTTTAAATAATGAAAGAACTATTTTCGCATATTTCTCCATTCTTTCTACGTAGTTTTTGGTTTTACTCAATTTTTAAAAAAGCTACAAAGAAAATCAAAAAACGGCATTCTTATTAGCCAACTAGATTGAAAATGAAACAAATAACTTCTCTTGTCGTTTTCCTATCGAAGCAATAATTCTGGTAAAAAATTAAAGCTGCAAAAGTTGAAAACAATGAAAACGTCAACTCCGCGGCGCGCCGTAAATACTGCCCGTTATACCTATAATACCCTTCTTAGTTTTTCCCAATTTTTCAAAAAAAGCTTGGAAATAAATGTCCGCCTCGGTGTGACAACTAGAGAAAATTTACTTTCAGAAAAGATGCTACACTTGATACATTGGAACGGGATTTATGGTTGGAAAGTTGTTCACAAACACAAAAAAGAAAATTTAAATAAAATACAATTTAAAAAAAAAAAAAACACACACACATCATAGTAAAACCAATAGACCCCTAGCTCGTCCCTATGCTCCGGATCTAAAAGAGTCGATACTACTCATGGACGCCGTTGTTGTAACTGGTGGGAAGTTGGGATGGTAGGACACACGTAAAATTATTTAAATCGCATATATATCATCAAACCGCGAGAAACCATTATTGTATAACGACAAACAGAAAGTAACCATTTTTTTTTCTTTCTTTTATAGACGTTAAAAATGTCCGATTTCGACGAAAACCGTAAATACCGCGGCCCTCCGAATGACGTGCAAAACGATAACTTCGCTCAAAATCGTTTTTTTTTTTTTTTACTAGCGACGGTTTATCGAGCGGCCAACGGTTATAAGTCGAACAGTAGAAAACAGGCGCGTTAGAGGCAGCGTTTCCCGACCAGGGGGCCCGCCAACGCTCTGGCGGTCACCGGCCGATTATACCCACTCGGGGTCGAGCCCGAAAAAACATAAAATTTCGGGTCGCCGCGTGTGAATAAGCGCAATATCACGGTTAGGGGTTGGTCCGGAAACCGCACGGTCTCGTTTAGGGGATCGCGACGGTGAAAACAACGTCGATGAACGCCGCGCCGGTACGGCGCGTCCGGAAAATCGGTCGGCCGATCGCTCACGTATCACGGCGCACGCGCCCTGTGTGCACGCGCGGGCAAACGACGGGCATAATAGCATGCAAATCGACGGATTTTATTGCTAACCGCGGCCGCACGGGCGTGCTCGCGAACCGCAACACGCCGAGTATTATGTTAATAGACGCGGGTAACGCGCCGTGCGCACGGCGACACAACGCCGTAAATAATATTGCCGCGACCCGTACACGGGAAACGGACGACAGAGGTCAACGACGAACGCAACGCGCGCGGCGCATTTGCATATTCCCGACGTGCCCGTCGGAGCGTTCGCCGGCGGCGGCCCGGTCGCGCACAATACGAGCCCGAACGCGGTGACCGGGCATCGACTGATCCGTCCCGACTGAACGCGCTGCGGCATGGATTTGTGCCGTTGGCCCGGCTGGACGGCCGGGCTCGTATGCGCCGCGGTAATCGTCCGGTGGTGGCTGGTGCCGTGGGCCCTTTGGCTGGGCCGCCGGGCCCTGTGCTGGGGCCGGTACGCGGTCTCGCGCCCGCGCCCGCCCGGCAGCGGCGGTCCGAGGCGTCCGCGGCCTTCCGCGTGCCCGTGCTGCGGCGGGGTGGACTTCGACGGCATGGCCGGCCGCTGGGCGGGTAAGTGACGACGGCCGCGATGTCCGCACGGCCGACCGCCGTTCCGACGTTTCGCGAATGTGTTTATTTATGTACTTTTTTTTTGTTTTTTTTTCGGTCTCGCGACGACTTCGGGACGCGCCGCTCCAGTGGTGACGGGCTGCACGGACGGGATCGGCAAGGAATACGCTCTGCAGGTAAATTTAAAATAAAAAATCGTCGTTAAAAAAAAAAATAAATATTCACCGTCCCCATTAATCCGATGCCGTTTATACAGTTGGCCGACCGAGGGATGAACGTGGCGCTCGTCAGCCGAAACGCGAACAAGCTGCGGGACGTGGCCCGGGAAATCCGTGAGTGTTCCGTAAATTCGGGGAAGATTTTTTTTTTCTTTTTGTTTTGGGGGCGGGGGTTGGGGAGTAACACGAAAATATGACGGACCACAACACTTTATATTATTGTATTGCGCCAGACGACCGGCACGGCCGCAAAGTCCGGACCCGAGTGGTGGTCGCCGACTTCACCAGCGCCGGCCGCGGGCCCGTCACGCTGACGGAGACATTCGAATCGGTGAGCCGCGGACTGGCCGGCCTGGACGTGGCCGTGTTGGTCAACAACGCCGGCATGGCGAACGCGAAACCGGACAGGTTCACGGATATGACGGCCGCGGACGGTCACGGTATAGTCGAGTGTAACGCGCTGGCCGCGGTGGCCATGTGCCGCGTGGTTATACCGCTCATGTCGGAGGGCGGCCGCCGTTGCCGGATGCTGTTCGGCGACGACGGCGACGGCGACGACGAACACTTGACGCTGCTGCTGTCGACCACGCCGGAGCCGCCCCCGCCGACGCCCGACACCCGGGGCGGCGTGGTCGTCAACGTCGGCTCGGCCTCGTTCCAGCTCCCGTTCCCGACGTACGCGGTGTACGCCGCCACAAAGGTACGGAGTATAGTGTTTTTATTTTTGGTTTTCGCGTAATTCGCGTTGTCGCGCTGTTGTTGTGATGTTCGGCCGCAGTCGTTTTTGGAGAAATTCTCGGTAGAACTGGCCGCCGAGTACGACGCGTTGAACGGTCAGCCGACCTATTGTTCCCCGGTCGCCGTCCGGTGCTTGACGCCCGGGGTCGTTGCCACCAAGATGACCAGAATGAGGCCGTCCGGCGACGAGGGCCCGTTGACGTTCTTGCCGGGACCGCGGGCTTACGCGCGCCACTCGCTCCGGTCGCTGGGTTGCCATTGCGCGTGCCGGCTGATACGGCGGGACGAGCGAACTCGGGACGACCGGGAAACCGGGACCGCGGGCGCCCGCGGATCGCCACGCGACTGTGACCGAGAAGGGGTGTTGGCCGGCGTGCTGAGCGCCGTGTTCGATTCGCCGTCGTCGCCGTTCTCGGTGGGTTGCGCCGGCGTCACCACGACCGGTTACCTGCCACACACACTCATGGTAACGTATTGCGTTGTAATATTGTGCAGGGCACGCCGTAATAATAATTCTGCGCGCCCCAGCAAAGCGGACCGGACTGTGATCACTGACCTCCCGGACGAATAGCGATGTCGTAAAAAAAAAAAAAGCACAGGGTTCGGCGCGTCGTGGATAGCTGTTAACGTCGAGTTAGGTAACGACCGCGGTTCAAGATAATATTATTATCACGAACCGAGCGGACCGTGATCAAATACCTTAGTTATGAATCGTTGAAAACAGAGGTCAGGGTCCTTCAGGGAGGTTGGGGGGGGGAGACTTAGGGGTCGGGGCCTCTACCCAAGCCCGTATATTTTTGTTAAAAGCAACTTTACACAAAAAAAAAATAAATGTATTTATATATTGTTGCAGACACGTATAAGTGTATAGTTGGAGGTCTCACTATCTGTACAACGAAGTGTAAAATATAAAATATGCTTTTTGTTATATAGTTTTCTGAAAAATCTGACTTAGCTCCCCCCCCTCTATCCATCAACCGAGTCTCTGGAGCCACCCCCGGAGAAAAGTATACAAATAAATCGTGAAACGCAAGACAGCGATCGTTTAGAGGGAGAGATAATATCGCAAGATGATACACAGCGAGTGGGAATTTGTTTGGGGCATACTCCTCTCTCTTTCTATATTACATATACTTTGTTCTCAACGACCGAACAGCCGGAAATGAAAAAATATAATGATTTTCGTTTTTTTTTTTTTTTTTTGGGATTTCTGATTTACTTTGCTGGCGAACGGCGGACACATTACAGACATAGATGGTAAAGATACGGATAGGCTATTCGTACAAGGGGTGGAGTGGGGACCGAATTCAGGCAGGATTAAAATTAATCTATGCTATCCAATAAAATGCGTACTTACCGAACAAAATTTTTCTCGCGTTTTAATTCGTATACAGTGAATAAGCCAGGTTTATGAATAGAGGGGAGCCAAATACGTGATTACTCGGGACAGGGCGAAGGTAAACCGCGGGTGTGGGGAGTTTCGACCTCTCTAAAAAAAAAATTATTAATTCGATTTCATCAATATATACATTTTAATGTTATACTTTATACGAAAGTGTCTGTAAAAAATAAATAAGAATTTAGTATAATAAGTGTATAACTTTTTACTAAGTTTTTAAAATATGATGCGAGTAACCCGTGTAAAATGTTATTACGATCCAGACCGTCTCTGAAAATTCCCATTTCCAGACCGGCCACTCCGCCCCTAATTCATACCTTTCAAAAAAGGGACTGGTACAGTTATTCCAAGATTGGCAGACAAAGTGTTGACTGACTGATCACCTGGGTGTTCCGCCCCTCCGGAAACGTCTTCTACATAACGTCGCATACAACTGTTATATAAGTAGCCGATCCGATTCTTTACTGGCTATGGGAGAGATGTGAAACGGTCTCTTCTCACTGATTTATTACACCATTAGAGTAACTATATGGTATAATACATTTGTAACGGTCAAACGGAGGAGGGTGAGGGTAACATATCACCACCACCATTACTTCATTTTTCTTAAATATTTATTATAATACGGGGTGATTTTCAGTGCTCACCCCATTTTTACGGTTGAGTTATGTATACAATTAAATTCTGATGCTCGGAATTTTCAAATATATAGTGAAAGACGATATTTTCGAACACTCAGATTTTTCCCAACACTCGACAAGTATTCTGTAACAATAACAACTTTGGTTTTTCTAACGAGAACCTATACGTTTTAATACAAATGGGCAGTCAGGTGATTTTTTTTTTTTGAAAATGTCGACGCATTTAAATCGAAATTTAAAAGAAAAATTGTATTCAATACAAGAAATTATCCATATATTTGATACAGTTATTGTCCAATCCCTATAAAAGACGATTATCGTTAGTATTTATAGCTCAACAAATTTTCATCTGAATTTCGATTACAATAGATACGCCAATATCATTAAAAAAAAAAATTTGATCCGATCGACAATTTGCTTCAAAATAACATGCAGATTCTCAATTGAAAAACCCAAGTTGTTTTCGCCACGGGTCACTCTTTAAATGCCGTTGAGAAATCTAAGTACATGAAAATACCGTCGTTCATTGTGCACTTGAAAATTCCGAAAATCAGAATTTTAATTTATGCGTAATTTAACCGGTAAAAATCGGGTAAGAGCGCTTTAGAAATAACCTTATACATTGCATCATAACCTTACAGTTATAAACCAAAAATACTACGTAAACAATACAAATTAGAGATTATCCTTATAAACCCCTCCCCCCTCATTCACAGAAAAATCAATTGGCGTGCCGACAGGTACAGATGCACCCGTGTACGTATTACCATACCATACATTATTAGAAACTCATAATAAATAGTGAGCCCTGATTCGTTGTATTTCAATGGGTAACATGCAAACAGCACTAAAAATGATGATAATGGCTTAAAACCATAAATTAAAATACAACTTTAATTATGAAAACATTTGCGCAAAAAACAGAAATACAGTAGAAACAGGAATGCCAAAATAAAAAGGGACGGATATACTTCGCGCGTAAGTGCAGCCAATGTTTTAGGTGTGAATTTGGAAAGGTAGGATACAGAAGTGAATTTGATGGATTTAATTTAAGCGACGATAAACAATTGCTAACGAAAAAACGATTCTGAGCGGAGTTCAGTTGAAAGTGATGTAATAGTCAACATTATATTCGTCATATTATGGTAATATAATTAAACAGGCTTTATACATTTTCTTTAATGATATTTGTTTAATATTGTACCGATTTTACGGCTTTTCCCATTTTTTTCCCGGTTTTTCACATTTGCTGGGAAAACTCTTGAGAATATTTTACATACATATTTCGTACATTTTCTCGTTTTTCCTAGGTTTTTATTTGGTATTTTACATTTGATGAGAAAACTCCTGTGAAAATCGAAAAAAAAAACCTTGTTAAAGTACCACGTCAAGAAAATTTTTTTTCAAAAAAGGTTACATTGTATTCGTCGTTTCCATCGGAGTAAGCTTTCTGATAGAAAAAATGTTCACACACACAAAAAAAAAAAAAAAAAAAAATACATCTTAGTAAAACCAATACGTTTCTTTGTTACACTCAGAATCTAAACAAAAGAACAAATATTTATTACACTTAACACAGTTGAAAAAACATGTTCAATTCGCACGCAGTCGGAAACTGCATTCCCTTGAAAAAAAGAGATGATGTTAACATTCAAGTACAGCCAATCGCAATTACAAAAAGACAAGTAGGTGTAACAATAGGTAGTAAACGCTTATTAGCCGGGAGACCTCCACTAAGAGAAAATAATAATGAAATATTCGTTTAGAATATTTTTTTCTAAACTGTGTTAAATGTAATAAATTATAAACTTGGTTTAATTGACTCTCTGTTTTGCATAATACACCTAACTGAGAACGTTTGCGACCTCTCACATTTACCTGTAGGCTGTCCTTCATTGCATACTAAACGTATAATTTTGCTCGATTACCCGGGATTCCTTAATATTTCCCCTGACCTCTTCTCCGTGCTCAACATTAAATCCGAAATGGTCATGAAATTTTGTATTGGATGCTGGTGTTGTTTTTTATATTTATCAGTTTTTTTTTTTCGTTCTCACTGCCATAATTTTGTATTAAAATAATTGTCGAGCTGTCATTATGGTCACAGACTAAAAGCTAATAAAAAAAAAAAAAAAAAAAAAAAATGTAATAAATACTTGTTTATTTTATTTTATGTTTTTTGACTTTTCTGTTTTCACTATATTCTCTCTTCTGTGCAATTATTTTCATAATTACAGTTGTATTTTATTTTACGATTTTAAGCCATTAACCATCGTGAAACTGCCACCGGTGTCATCCGCTCCTAACCCTTTTGCGGCTGTACACACATAGATAATATACGCATGGATGAAACGCCCATGTACCTCTACTCGTACACGGCGTAAGGGGGGGGGGGGTTCACAGTGTTTACGCTAAACCGTGACGCATCAAACACGATAATATGATCGTGTGCGCTCGTGCCGTGCGTTTTCCGCGTGTTTTTCCCGTTATAACACGTTTTGAAATGTTAAAAATCTAAAACCGCCATTCCGTCTGTACTGCAATCGCAGTTTCAATTGAGAACGATGTCGTAAGGCGGATAGGCAAATTTTATGTGCCTACTTATGAAAAAAAAAAAAAAAAAAAATGATTTCATTCATACGTAGGTACAATGCTCATAAAATTCTGAACCGCTTACTTTGACGAAGAACATTTCTGTACCGATCGACTGGACGCCGATATTCTAGTGAAATTGTAATAATATTTTATGTCGTCAGCAACATATCGAAATAAACGTAACCGGCCTAATGTACGCACATATGATTTTGTATAGATGATGATGGGTCACGCCGTGGTGTGGACGATGGGTCGCTCGTTCTTGTCGAACTTCGTGTACGAGTACCTGAGCCGAACCCGGGACCGGATTGTGCGCCGGAACGCGAAAAAGGCCGAGGAAAAGGCCGCAAAGATCTGAACGAATGACGGTCGCCACCGCGTGACGGTACGGATTTCGGAGGCGTTCGCTTATTGTTTATTCATTGTTGTTTTTTTTTTTTGTTTTTTCACTCTTGATCAAACCGAAACTCTTACTGATTATCGGGATTTTTTACGACTACCGTTTATTATTTATTTATTTTTTTCATTCTTTCTTCGCGTTTTATATCGGTTTTAGCGAAACGCGCACGTCGGAATTCGGGGGAAAAAATTAACGTTTCCGACACAATAATATAATATACTCGTATAATATCAATATACACTATTGGTAATATGTTTTAATTGTCATAACCTGCCTTTGATATTGGCGAACGACGCAATACGCGATTCGCATAATATTCTTCGCGAACACCATCACAATCCGCTTCCTGACCTATTCATAGGTATCCATTCCTAAGCTTTCTCCCAATTCTTCGCCTATTTTCGCGCCCTTCGTGCTACATACTAATGAAGTCATTTGCGATGTTTCTTTTCTACCTCCTTTTTTGACGCTTAAACATATATAAAACTCTTTTTCTCCTCTTACCCTGTATGGATATTCACCTTCTTCACAACCGCCGTTCCACCGAATCGATAATCCCTATAACTATCAACTCCATCTTAGACACTGGCTTTTTAATATAAAATATCAAATGCAATTAAAATATTGCATCGTAATAATATTGTTGTGTCGTATTATCTTACGATTAAGGCAATGAAAAAAAAATTAATTTTTAAAGAGGTTTTTTAGAACGCCATAGGCCAACTCTCGATTCGGTCCTTCCGAAATCGTGGAAAAAAAATTAAAAAAAACAAACGGATATACTTCGTACGATGGGTGAGTCACTGTTGTAGGTGAGGAGTTGGGAAAATAGAGGAGAAATCGATCGTATATCTGTACGCAACGAAAAATAAATCTGAACGGTGTTTAGTTACATATGTGTTTCGAAAGACCGTGATATTTACGATTTGAAAATAATACACATTTCGTGCATTTTTCCCATTTGTTAGGAAAATCCCTGGAAAAATAAAAAAAAAATGTCCTCACAAAAGTACCGCCCACGGAAAACTTCCTTTCGGAAAAAATGCTACGCTCGAAAATCGGGAGCGAAAGAACCGGTAGAGCTGTTGGCGGGGAAAAAAATAAAAATAAACATCATAAATCCAATATGATCGCTTCGCTCTGCCGAATCTAAAACGGGCGTCTCGAAACTACAAAAATAATTAACATTAATACCGCGCGCAGCGTTGTACGGCTTTAAGTATAAATCACGGCGTATTGTATAATATTGTATAATTAGTATTATAAATTGCTTGGAAAACGCTCTTCGGTTTAATCGTGCCTCGACTATATGTATAAGTAATCATTTTATTTTATTTTATTTTTTTTTTTTTTTTTAAATCAGTTCGAAACGGTAATTATCGGCGACGGCGGGGCGGATTCGTTTTTCGACGGTTTCAAACGGGCGGGCGCGAAAAAATCGATATTACGCGAATAATATAATACCGTTTTTCGTATTACATTAATACGGCCTCGGCGTTTCGAAAGTTTTTGCGTATAATAACCGTAATATTAAAACATAAGGCGCGCTATTCTACCCGGGAAATTAAACGAAAATACCCGCGATATTATTATTATATACGACCCGAAATATTATTGTTGCCGCCGCGTGCGTATTATAATAAGTAATAACTTTATTCTATACATTTTAAGCGCTATTACGATTTACCGAAAACAACCCTTTTGTCGAAACCGTTCGTAAGACGAGACCGCTATATAGGGCTGACCGCAAGAACAAGAGACGGAAGGAGACGCGGTAGACATGGGCAGGTGGACGCCAGCGGACAGAAACGCTTGGGTGGAATTGACAACCGACAGGGTGAGACGGAAAAGTTTGTTTATGGCACCTCGGGTCATTCGAGGACCGTAATGCTATTAAACACGAAGAAATCATAAACGATTGACTGCGCAAAATCCTGCGGCTGTCGTTTCGGCGGAAAATCAATAAAAAATTTCCGTTCGGGCTATAAGAAACCGTTATACTCGCATGCGCTGTCTCGGTTCGATTAACGGGCAATATAGCAAAATCTACCTCACTCGTTTAATTTTCGTTTTAGAGTAAAATCACGTATTACGGTAATAAACAGGACGATATTCTGGAGGGTGAACCGACGCGTTTTACCTATTATTCCGAATATAACACCCAATAAATTGTTTGGAAATAAAGACTGATTTATCGATTTTAAATGACTGTAACGTTTAAAAAAAAAAAGAAACTCGTCCTCTTGCCTTCTGGATTATTATCTTCTTTTAATATTATAATAGGTGCTTAATATCAAAATTTGCTCTAAAACCAAAATCAAGTGATTTCTACAGTGTAGTCTGCGTAAGATAAACTTTGCTATAGTGCCCGTTAGTTGGACTGAGGCAGCACATACGGGTATAATGACCTCTTAAACGAAACGCTCGTATTATAATCTGATTTTTTAAGATAAACCTGATGAACCAATAACCTTATACAAAATCATATTAGGCGTAAAAACCTCGACTATTTCAAGAACTCTTCATAATATTGATTCTGTATACTTATTATTTACTATATTTGGGGGAGGGTGGGTTTTCAAGGAGAATCAATCTGATTTTCAAGGAGCACGAACTCCCCAAGCTCTATCTATCTACAAAACAAAGGGAACGCCGTGATCCAATTGGATGTATTAAAAAATTAATATTTAACATATTTTATTTAAAAAATACTTTGGTGGAAAATTTCCTAGGGGAGGCAGCTGCCTCCCTATAGCCTTCCTCTTGCGCACACTAATGTTATTATAAATGTTAAGGCCACGGTCTGTAGCGACGGTTGAACGTTAAAACGCGAGTTCATAATATTTTATAATAAGGATTTTAATTACATTACCGTGGCCAATTTATGCGATTCGCGAAACTCGCAGTAAGGCGTACCGAATACGCGCGTATACACAAATTATATTATATAAGTGCGCTTAAGTTTCTATTAAATTATATTGTATAGCTACATTAAAGTCCGGAGAATTTTGTCTGGAGGGAGGGAGAGGAAAGATTAAATACGTTATACTTTACGCAATAAACAATTCAATAAAAAAACAAAAAAAAAACCAGAAAAACAATTTATATCTAACAAATGATTAGCCGCATTGAAATCTAGAGGAGGCAAACGCAAACCACTTCCGGGCGCTCATTTATACCTGATGTATTAATTGATAATTTCAAATTAAAAAAAATTGACAGAGATGTGTAGACTCAGTTAGGATAGTGTGTTTCAAATTCTGGGAGTTTATCAGGCGAAGAACTTGCCAACGGCAGTGGCGGCTCGTGGTGTTAAAAACAGACGGTGCACAGATCAATAATTAACAAGAATCGACCATGGCGTAACGTGTTTATACACATTTGTATGAGGGAGAATTTTTTTTTCGTTAAAGATTTCCCATTGAATTCGATGTTAAAGCAAAAACGACGTGTTAGTACCCCAAGAGGAAAGAATTTACCGCGACGGGTAAAAACTAAAAATGTAAATTATATATTGCGAACGCAATGCATGTGCCATTCGATACAGATATCAGAATGCAAACGGAAAAACCTCGAAATTAACCGTAGATAACGTTTACGTTAAAAATCGGTCCGCGGTGTGGTATCTGCGCGCCGAGTCGCATTGCATTTCTCGATCCCCCGCACGTCAGCCCGTGCGTATTTTATACCCCGGGCGTGGGGTGCGGTTCAGTTTCCACAGTGTTGCGCACTCACTGGTGCGTGCATATTGCGTAATTGTTTTTACTGTGGGAGCAACGGTATTACGTCCGCGGCAGAATTCTTTGCCGAAAAGTATTTTTGAATGGCACGGCGTCTAGATATTGTCAATGGTCGATTTATAAAGATCGGGTTCTAAAATTTAAAAAAAAAAAAAAAATATATCGTTTCGATAAAAAGTCATGCGGCGCACTTGCACCTGCGCGCCTACGCACGGGCCGCCCGCCACTGGTGGACTGTGCGAACACCAGCTGATAATTGTTTCGGTGCCCGGCAGCCGCATTATTATCAAAATAATATACCGCGAATAATCGCGTTGATTAACCCGTGAAACGACACGGACAAATAATCAATGAAACCGACGGCGTTATATTATTTCACGGGTAACGCTGAAAAACAGAGCCGCGAAACAGGACGGGGAAACATTGCCGAACGAAATCGGTTTATCCGTTGCAAATAATTTTCGAAACGATTGTTCAGTGGCGGCCAAACGAAAATTATGCTGATAAAATAACGCGGGGCGAAATCTCAGTTTTTAGCTGTAATAATTAAAAAAAAAAAAAAAAACCTTATTTTTACCTCGCGGGTCCCGCCGTTTCGCAAAGTGCATTGTTATTATCGTTACGTGTAACACCGCAACTACATCGTTCGAAAAGTGGAAAAGTGAAAAGGATAACTCCGCCCCCGGAGCTCTCCGGCGTATCGGGTTGTTTTTTTTTTTTTTTTTATTACCCAACATTATTGTTATTGTTGTCGGTCCGTACACAGATCCTCCATTATCATTAAGATTTTTGTTTTAAATTTCTACGTCGTTATTGTTATACACACGAGACCCGCGTTATTTTACCATGTTTTATTGCGTTATAATTAGGATTATGAAATATAATTTTCTCGCGTACGGAAAGTTTTTGTTGTTGTTTTTTTTTTTATTTTCATAACGGCTTTGTTGTTTAAAATTATAATAAAAAAAAAAAAAAACGCGTATTGTTGTAATTCTTTTTCCGTAGCGGGTATTAAAAAATACAATATATAGCTTTTTAAGAGAGCGACGCCCGTGAATCCCCTCGAGTCTCGTTATACTTATAAAATGTTTCGTTCGTATTGTATTTATTTTTTTTATTTTTGTTTTTTTTTTTTTTTTACCGTACAAATCGGTCCAGAGTAAAACGAATAATTTCTTTTAAATTTACGATATCGGAGGACAATATTTTTTTTTAATATTTTTTTTTTTGTTTTTGTTTTTCTCCATAAAACGTGTACAATAAGCGGATTAAAAATTCGCGAATTTCCGACCGAACTGCCGTGGTGGCGTGTTAAGGATTTTGCCGAGGAGAGGGAGATTATGGAAATTGTCCCGTATATTTTGTATAACGTGTAAACTGGTTAAAAAAAAAAAAATACACTCAATAATTCGTATATATTAAAACTATTTTTCGTTTGATGTAATCAAATTTCATTAAGTTTCGTGTATATAATTTAGAATTTCAAGTTAAACACTCGCGTCCGTTCGCTCAAAATATTTAACAACTACATATTATATAAAAAAAAAAAAGGGAAATACGAGCCGTACAATACAATGTGGGTTCGATTGATCGCATTGCGGATTGAAAAACGTAGTAATATAGTATAGAGCTAGATAATGACAGGAGAATACCATGGGTACTATGGGTGCTGAAAAACACTATAGTTTGGCAATATTGAATATCGAAATGGATTTGTGGTCAGATTTAAGTTGTGCCGATTTCGTTGATGCGTTTACTGAGGAAAAAAAGTACAAGAAAAAATATCAAATTATGATATTTTTTTTTTTTTTTTTACAAAAGGCATAATATAACAAATTGTATGTTCAATTAAAAAAAATTTTGGGGCGCAAGAGGCGAAG